TGGGGAACTGAAGAATGAAAAATGTAAAATATGAAAAATGAACCAATGGAAGATGAGAAAGAGGAGAGAAAAATGAGGTTGGGGATCCTATTGAAGAGTAAAAGGAAATTACTAGTGTGAGGAAATAGTCGCAGGAACGAACAAGAAAGAGGAGATAGAAAAAAGAGCAAAATACAGAGAATAAAAGAAAAATAAGGAAGAGAGAAAAAAGTTAGAAGAGGGAAACACAATAAGAGAAGGAAGAACCAAAAAGAGTGTGCCAAGTGGAAACAATGCAGAGCAGGCTTGGAGTTCACCCGTGGTCGTGCTGCAGGCAGTGGCCTGCTTGCTGTGTCAATGGAATCAAAGGCAGTGGCTTTCTCTAGTTTGCATTTGGGAATCATTTTATTACTAATTTAATCTTTTGACTTGTTATTGGTCTGTTCAGGTTTTTTTCTCTTTTTGATGTTTCAGTCTTGTTAGGTTATATACATCCAAGAATGTATCTACCTCTCTGGATTGCCCAATTTTCTGGCATGTAGTTGTTTATGATTATCTAATTACTTTTTGTACTTCAGTAGTATTAGTTATAGTAACTCCTTTTTCATCTCTGATTTGTTGATTTGAGTCTTCTCTGTTGAAAGACAGGATTGTTAACTGTAGTGTTCTTGTTTAGCAGTCTTTTTTTTTTTTCATTAAGGATTTTAAATATATCATCCCACTCCCTTCTACATCTCAACGTTTCTGATAAGAATTCTGCTGGGTGGCTGGGGATTTAGCTGGAGTTCCACTGCCTGCTTGGCAAGCACAAGGTCCTGAGTTAAAAAAAAAAGAATTCCGTTGATAGTATTCCCCCTCTACTTGTGATTCATTTTTCTCTTACTGCTTTCAGCAAATCTTTTGTCTTTAACTTTTGACAATTTGTGATATTTTGTGATATCCATCATTTTAAATTTATCTTATTTGATGTCCTGTCAGATGCATGGATCTGGCTATGTTCCTTTCCCCACGCTTGGGAAATGTCCTGCCAATATTTCTTCAGATGTGTTTTCTGTCCCCTGTTCCTTTTCCTTCTGTAATGTCAATAATGTGTAAGTTGTTCTGCTTGATAGCAGCCCCTATGCCTCTTACGTTATTTTCACCTTGTTTCAGAGTGCCTAGGTTATTTCCATTTATTTACCTTCAAGTACAGTCATCATTCCTTCTGCTATATCTATTCTCTTATTGAACTTTTTCTTTTTTGGTACCAGGGATCAAACTCAAGACCTCGTGCTTGCCAGGCAGGCACTATGCCACTGAACTACATCCCTGACCCTCTTGTTGAGCCATTTTGTATTTTTCAGCTCAGCGCTTCTTCAGATGTATGCTTTCTGTTTGCTGCTTTTTATACTGTTAATTGACGCTCTCAGTTTCTTTGTGCATTGCTCACTTCAGCTTTATGAACATCTTTATGTGCATTATTTTTAATTCTCTGCTCGATAAATCACAGAACTTTATCCAGGTATGTTTCTGAAAATTCTGTTATTTCTTTTTTTGGGGAATATATTCCCTTGATTCTCTGGGTAGGGTTCTATACGTCATATATAGTACCTGCTTTTATCCACCTTGTTGGGTTGGCTTTGCATAAAAAGTTTTTACCATTATTCTTGACTACAGATGTTAAGATATCTCTCACATCTCTGTGTTTGTCAGACTACTCTCTCTGATTTTTGGTGGTGGCCTAGAACTGAGTATGTGCCATATCTTGTCAGTACTCTGAAAGCAGTGTAGTTTCTGGAGTCTTTAGATGGTATAGAAAGGTTTTTGATTTTAATGTGCATGCCAATTCCTTTTATCTTCACAATGAGGTTGAATGTGAGCATTTATCTATTACTCTGTCTGCACTAAGATAAGGAGAGGATCTGTGGCAAATGCCTATATTCATTTTCTGGCTGTACCTTCTGATTCTAAAAGGATGACTGCTGAAAGTGGGCCCATTGTATGACCATCTGTTTGTTTTCTGTTGTCTTTAGTCACTCAGAGTAGCCTAGGCCTGTGACATTCAGAGATGTTAACTAATTTAACATTAGTTTAAGAGAAAATCCCATAGATGAACACTACAGAAGTTGTGGAATTTGTGTACTCTGTGCCTGGCTAACCTTCTTCCAGAAAGTGTGTAGGCCTGGATTTGTCTCTGGCATAAACCAGGGGGGCAGATTTTATATAGGGTCCACTTTTGAGTCTAGCTGTCAGAAGGCAACTAACTGTTTGACTTCTGTGTGGCTCAATTGAAATTCATTAGAAACCAGGCCATCAAATAACTACTGCAATTTTGTGCAATAAGCCCCTTTCAGAAATCAGAAAATCAGAGCCGTACAGTCCCTTTTTCTGCTTTTCTCCAAAGAGGTACTGCCCTGAGAAATACTTGACTCCCATTATAAACTAGATGTTCATTCTGTGATTAAGGGAAACTACCATGTATCTAGTCCCTTCTGTTCTCTTGACTATCAAGTTTTGGTGGGAGTCTTTTGGTATGTAGCTTTAAAAATGGAGTCTCTCCATGTACATCACAGACTTCCCTTGGAGAAAAAGAATAAAGATATTACGTTTTTAAAGCCTCTTCCCTGCATTGTTCTAGAGGGATGAAGTTCCTGAAGGTGCTTGTGTGGCCATATAAAAATGCTCCTTTTCAGGCTATGTAGAGACATTCTCTTTTGATTCCAGAACTACAGACATTTCGGAGACAGCTCCTTAGGTAGATGTTAGATTTTCAGTTCTTGGTATGAGTACAAGTGTCTTCTAGACTGCTGGTGCATTAATAATTGTTCATTTAACTTCTCAGTGCAAGTTAGTTAAAACCAAGGCTACAAGATAGCTGTTATGGGGTGTTGTATAAGCCCTGAAGAGAGTGATTTGGGGAGCATGTGCTTCTGTTTGTGTGTGTGTGTATTTGTGTGTGTGTGTAAGTTCCTTCTCTGCACTGTTCCATTGGCAGATAAATCTCTGGTTGTGTTCTTGTATCCTTATAAAACCCTGCTCCTTTTTCTGCAGCCAGTGTAGATCTTGTGTGTCTAATCTTGTTTGCTCCTAGTTGATGAATTAAGAGTTAAACCATGGGAAAACTAAGGTTAGGCCTTTATGAGGTCTAGACCCTCTTCTCCACAGAAAGATACTGGGTGTTGGAGATTTCTTTCCCTGTTTAATGGTGCAATACCCAACTGGGATCCATGTTTGAGTGTGCCTTGGCTTTTTCTACCCATTTGTGTTTTCTCAGTTGTCCAGTGATTAGAAGTCTCTCAACTGCTTTCTTTTTCTCAGAGAAATACTTTTTGGTGTATTCTTTGGTGGAGGAAGAATCAGGAACTCCTGATTCCATCATATAAATGGTATTCCTCTCAATCTCTTGTTAATAATTGCTTTTAGGGCCAGGTATTTAGCTCAGTGGTACTTACGCCTGCCTCGGAAGCGCAAGGTCCTGAGTTCAATCCCTGGTACCGCAAAAAAAAAAAAAAAAGGAAAGAAAAAAACCCCAGTGCTTTAAAAAAATAATAATTGCTTCTAGTTTTATAATTTTTTATATTTCTTTGGGTATATGTACTTTTCTTAATGTTCTGATAAGTCAGTTTCTGCAGGTGAAAATCTCTTGGCTGGTTTATTATCCCTTATGTACTATTGATCTTCCTTGGTGATAGTTTTTAGTTTTTACTTGTCTGTTCATCTTATATATATGAACGCTCCATGAGTAGCTCCACACACTCTTTGGTTATATATTACTAAAGTTGCTTCAACTTCATTTTTTTACTCTAGTCCTCTAAAATTTCACTTTCTTCTTAGTTTTGAACTCTTCTGAGTAATGGCTTTATTTTCATCAGCATATTTTTATTTTCATGTCATTTCCATAGGCTTAATATACCAGGGAGTGGAGTGGAGGGCAGAGTTTTGTTGTCACACTGCTATCTTAAAACTGGAAAGTGAAGCCAGAGAAACTGTACACAAAAGCATGAAAATATTGTGATCAATGAGATTTGCCAATCAGTACAGATTTCAACCAATAACTTCCTTTTGTTTAGATATTACATTTATTAACTGTATGATATAGGAATATCTGATGTGCTATTTTCTGGTGTTTTCACAAATTCTTTGTGCCAAAAACTGTATTTTCACAAACTATCAGAATTATTTCAAAGTTTATGTCAAGGTGTAAGTTATTTTGTTCATCCATCTGTTTAGTCTTTTTTATAGTTTTATTATATTGGTACGTTTAAGGTATACAATATAATGACATTCATCATTGGAAATTTGCATCTTTACATAATCCATCTTGGTTCTTATTTTTTCCCCATTCCCCTGCCCTTCCTTGTTTAATTACTCTTAGGACAAAGTTTCATTTCGTTGGAGAATCTCATGCTGAATTCCCAAATATGTGATATACTCTTCTCTTTTGCCTTCATAGTGCCGTATTCATAGTTTCATCTTTAAGAAAAATATGATGAAAATTTTTTGTGTCTCATTCTCTAACCAGAGTATAAATTTCATGGGCACAGAAACTGGTTTTCATTACATGTTAAGTACCTGGTTCAGTGCCTCATGTAGGGTATGCTGGCTATTAAATATGTAATTGAACCTAAACTCACTTTATTGTCATTCACATGAGCTTGCTACTGTGTGTAGTGATTGTTTTTCCATTTGTACCTGTTCTGTGTCTTTCATTAAGTAAATATACTGAAAACCCATCAGATGTGCTTTAATTTAGAAAATGTATATATTTATACTTTGCTTTAGGATTTTTTTGTATGTGTGCATATCTAGTGCTATAATCCAGGCTAGGACTTCACACATTCTGGGCAAGCATTCTGCTATTGAGCTACAACTTCAGCCCCATACTTTAAAATAAGCATTAAAGTATAGAATACAGTCTCTAGATGTAACATAGCATAATTAATACAAATTTATATTTAAAATATCCTGGAAATTAGATCTGAAATGTGGAAATATTATGTGTGAAATTCACTATCAATTTAAATATTATTTTCTTTTATTAGCCCATTTCAAACTAATCAGTTTACTGGAATGGTATATGAAACAGTACTGCTTCCCCATCGGCATTCTTTAAGAACAGGGAGCTTAGATGAAGCAGTAACTCCCAATACATCACCAGCTCAATGGCCAGGTATAAATACTTTATCTATGTATGAGTTTCTTTGTAATCTTCTGAAAATCTTATATGAGTAAAACCAGATTTGGTTTTGTTTTGCCATATGATAATCATTTTTTAAATTGTTAGAATTGTTACCAGTTCAATATTCACCACTTATTGCAAGTTATGTAATTACTTAATCTGTTTCCTTGATCATTATACTAAAATAACTCAAGTGTTTTGTTATATCATGTTTAAAATAATTTTGCTCTTGTCATAATAAAAATTACATCATTGAAATTTGAGTCAGATTGCATATTTTTATTGTTTATCTAAATTGGGAAAACAACTCAGAATTTGTTCATTAAGTGTAATAAACCATTACTAGTTATGAATCTTGGAAGAAAATATTAAATCCTGATACATTTTTTCCAAAACTTCAAAAATTAGAAAAAACTATAGTTAAATTTTTAAAATGTATGCCTTTTATTGTATGAAAATTATATCTATTTACAAAGACTTTGGATGGGTTGAAGGGAGGGAAGGAAAAGGGGGAAAAAATAAGAATCTAAATATATTATGTAAAGGTACAAATCTCCAATGATGAATGTCATTATATTGTACCTAAAATGTACCAATAAAATTTAAAAAAGAAAATTATATCTAATAAGCTTGATTATAGTCAATGAGATACACAAGAATGTGATGGATATAATACCAGTGAGCTCTTAAAAATGACTGAAGTGGTAAATTTTATGTTATACTTTACCACAATAAAGAATTACGAGGTACATTTTTTAAGTATTACAATATTTAATTAAAAATTTCAAAGATGGGCTGGAGATTTAGCTCAGTGGTGCCACACCTGCCTGGCAAGCACAAGGACCCGAGTTCGATCCCTGGTACCAAAAAAAAAAAAAAAATTTTTTTCAAACATGGAGTTGGAAATGATAGTACAATTATTTCTTCTATACTCATCATGCATTCTGCAGATTTAACCATTATTAAAGCAAATATGTCTAAATTATGGTAATGTTTATGTATGTGAACATATTCTAGAGCAAGTGAAGTTGATAATTATATTTAATCATGATCATTAATGTTTATTACTATCTTTATTATACTTAAATCAATAATTGAATAATAGCATCTTTTATTCAACTAATGCTCAATTTTGTCTTTTATCCCAGTTAAGATCAATCAAGAAATAATGTCTTGGGCCAGGGATTTAGCTCAGTGACACCACGCCTGCCTTACAAGCACAAGGTCGTGAATTCGATCCCCGGTACCAAGAAAAAGCAAAAGAAATAATGTCTTGAGACTATTAAAAGAGAAGAAAATAAGGGAAGAGGGATGGGCAAGGCACATAATAGAGTGTGGAAGTGATGATCAGAAATGCCATATGCATGCATAAATATGTCACAATGAAACCTACCACTCTGTACAACCAACATCCACTTAAAAAGATAGAGAAAATCTCTTATTATGTCCTTTAAGATTCATTTCATCTAAAACAGTGCTATAGTTTGGATCTGGAATGTCCCATGTATGCCTTTGGTCCCCAGCTCAGTGCAGCTAGAATGTGATGAAAACTTTAAAAGGTAGGACCTATGGGAGCTCTTTAGGTCATTGAGGCACGCTCCCAAGGGGATTGTGGGATCCAGGACCTCTTCTAGCTCTTTCTTACTTTCTAGCCATGAGGTGAGCAGCTTTCTCTGCCATGCACTTAATGTCTCACAAGCGGTGTGGCCAACTGACCATGGACTGAAGCCTCCACAGCTGTTAACCCATGTAAACTATTTCTGTTTATAAGTTGATTATCTCAGGTGTTTATAACAGTAATGGAAATCAGACTAAGTTGATTGTTAATAAAATTATTGTTAATGGGCAGCTATGTTTATGGTTTGTTCTTAGGAATAACTTGTCTGATTAGACTTTTGAATTCTTCTGGTGAGGAAGCCCAGTCAGGACTTACAGTCTTGCTTTGTGAGATTCTCACAGCAGTGTACCTTAGTCTCTTCATCCATGGCCTGGCAACACATTCTAGTAATGAACTGTTTCGGATTGTGGCCCATCCTTTAAATGAAAAAATGTGGTCCGCTGTATTTGGTGGAGGTGCACATATTCCCGGCAAAGAACAGACACATTCAAAAGCTTTACCTGGTAAGTTTTAAATTTTCTTTTCTTACTTTTAGGCAGATGCTTAATTTATTCTGTTTGTTCATATGAATGGTAACTTTATCAAATGTAATCAAATTTTAATTTAGTTAGAGAAAAAGCTCTTACCAAAGACCATTTTCTTAAAGCATGATCTAGAGAAAATGAAGTATTAAAGTTTCTGGTACAGTTTTCAATATTTAAGATATTCCTGTACCAGTGACTGGAACTAACTAATGCTATTTTATTAAATATTTTACTCTTGAACCTTTCATTTGTTTTAAAATGCACTGTAACATTGGTTTTGTTCTATCCCAAATACAGACTCTCTCTTCTTTCTTTGGCAGGAAGGCACTTTGCTATACCTAGCCCACACCAGGTAGTGGTATTCTCCATGGAATGTGTGGGCTTTTCCAAAGCTCTTTCAGCCATCAGTTCTCATAGCCCTCCCAGTCTTGCAGGCAAGATAATAGCTTTAGAAATAGACTTTTGCAGCTCAGCTTGCTTTGGGTTGTTTGGGAGGGATTAGTGTATATGGAACAGTTTTGATTGGTATTTATGGAAAATTGAAAGTTTCCTTTTATCAAGTCATATTTCTGATTTAAATTATTAGCATTTTAAAAAGTTATTTCTGCTCTTTTATTCTGCTTTTGAACTTTTCATTTTGGATATTTTCTGTCCTTTAGATTTTAACATTTTTAAGTATGTAAAAATAAAACAATGTCCATGCTTAATCATAGAAGATCAGACTGACTTGAAATGACTGAAAAAAGCATTTCAAATGAGGCTGCTTTATGATTTGCATATTATGACTCTGGCTGTTGGTAATTTTGGATTTCTAAGTGTTTGTTACCACAAAAAGCAAATACTTAAAAAAATTATATCCTCTTTTCATTTCTAATTTACAAATATACTATGTTTATTTAAAGATTGAAGTAGCAAATTTTCTTGACATAAAAAGAATCTTCATGATGCTTTCTGCCTTTCTATTTTTGTTATTAATCCATATGTAACAATTTTGTTTTTTCAATTTTGAAGATTATAGGTAGAAGATTTAGGAATTGATATATAGTACCGAAAAGCCTGTTTCATTCTATACTGATGTTGAATAAATACAAAATGTTTAAATCCTTTTCAAAAATGAAACCCTGTGCATACATTTCAGAGAGAAGTACAGCAAGTTATTTATTGCCTTATGAATTTTAATTCACTTTATACTATCTACATTCATCATACACATGATGGGGACTTGGATATTTATGTACTGGAAGGTCATAATAGTAGGCAGGGGATGAAGATAAAAGCTTGAATTTGGCTTCATCATTTAGGAAAAAACTCATTGCATAAATCTACACGATGACTTTAAATGAAATTGTATTCAAAGAAAGTTAGAAAAATAGTTATCTTATTAAAATGTTTTTAAAAATTAATAGCATTGTTGTCATGCATTGTGCTTCCCAAAAGAGCAGTTTCTTGGGCCAGGATTGAGCTCAGTGGTGCCACCACCTGCCTCACAAGTGTTAGGTCCCAGGTTCAGTCTCCAGTACCAAAAAAAAAAAGCAGTTTCTTAGAAACTATGGCCCAATATGATCACAGGGCAAAAATCCTGGTGGCTGAGTTTCCACCTCACCCTCTTCATTGAAATTGTTTTTCTGTTAGCGAGCACTCTAATCTAATCCAGCTCCCTCCCTCCCACCAAGAAAATCAGGCAAGCAGTCTATCATATTTAATATTTATAATAAAGTAAACTCAATGTACAACTTTGAGCCAAAGTCACCCAATTTTTTTGTAAAGAGACCTTTCAGTCACATCTATTCAGTTCTGCCTTGATAGCATAAAAGCAACTACAGACAGTACATAAACAGGTTAGTACACCTGTGTGGCAGTAAGACATTTATACAACTAAGTTATACTTTAATAGCCCCTGCTTTACAAGCTGAAGCAATTTGTCATTGCTTCGTTTGGAATAGAATATTTGCCTTCCCAGTTAAAGGAATTTCAGGGTTTGTTTGTTTGTTTGTTTGTTTTCTTTTTTGGTACCGGTGATCAAAGGAATTTCAGTTTTTAAGAACTAAAATTAGGGCCCAAGATTTAGCTCAGTGGTTCCACTGCTTGCCTTGCAAGTGCAAGGTCCCGAGTTCAATCCCTGATACCAAAAAAAAGAGAAAGAACTAAAATTATCGTTTTTAAGCATGGCATTAATGTCACATTGAGTCTTTTATAAATACTTGATCTAATTAAAAATTGGTACCATGAAATAGGACAAGTAGTTGCAGAGGGATAATTTGTGGTCTTCCTTGCTGTGGCCCCTAACTTCCTTGAAGATTGGGGGCTAATTCAGTTTTGTCTCCTCTAAGCTACTATAAATGTGTACGACTAACTTGGCTTCTCCTCAAACCTCATGCTACCTTACCTGGCGTGTACTGTATCTACCTAGCACACTTTGCTTACTACTCTGGTCCATGCCCTTTATGCTAAGTCAGACTCATTTTCTTTATGACTTTCTTCCTTAAGAACAAATTTTAGATGCAAATTTACCTTGCCAAACTTACCTTTTTTCATTAAGATCTTAAATATTTTAATTTTCACCACATCCTTTTCTGGTTTTTAAAGTTATTTCCTCTATTTTACTTTGTTCATCATTTAAAAAGAAAAAGAAAAGAAAAAAACTGCTTGTGATTTGCCTTGGACCTCATACCAGAATTAAAGAAATACTTCAAAGTCCAAGGGTAGTGAGATTTTTAGGTCTGTTAACGTGAATTAATTTGGGCTGTTTTTAATGTTCTGAGAAAAATCATTTAAGAATAATTTTGTTAATATTAAAAAAGGATAGATTCTTGCTAAGGAAATGTCCACCTATGTGTAAAAAAATAAAAAATGCGTACTTCTTAAACAGCCATCAGGTGTCAGTTCCAACCATTTCTTCTGAGCACAAATGTATCTTAAAGTCCTGATTGATCCTTGTTTAACCAGTCAGATTTATTGGTTGTTTTTGGGAAAAAATGCCATTCATAGTTACTAATGAGTCAGGTGATCAAAAATTACCTGTTTGTATGTGTTTAACTTCTTGAATATGGGACATGATAACCAAATAATGAAGAATATTTTAAACATGTTTACTTAGTAGCGTGCTGGATGTAGTCACATTCAGACTGTAGGGTGCTGGCTCATCCGTCTTTAAGAATCCTGAAACTATTCTGAATAAAACCAGTCATACAAGTAGCTAGCTGTAGGAACAAAGAAAATTTGAATGATTATCAGTTTGTAACAACATCAACAAAACATGTATACTCACTAAATGATGAAGCCAAAGGCTCGCTGGCTGGTTAGCAAAGCTAATCTAGTTTGAAAAGAAGCACAGAGATAGAAAAAGAGAAGGAGACCGGGGATTTAGCTCAGTGGTTCCGCTGCCTGCCTCGCAAGCACAAAGGACCCAAGTTCGATCCCCAGAACCAAAAAAAAAAGAAAAAGAAGGAGGGAGTGAAGGAAGAGCGGACAGAGAAAGAAAACAGTAAATAGTGAAGGCAGTAGTGGTAATTAGAAGCAGCAGTCTTATGAAGCAGATACATTGAAAATGAGACAGAAAATTTGAGGACCAAAAATCCACCAAGAGAAAGATTAGCATTGGTGGTTTTCAACTTGAAATTCTGAGATCTGTTTTTGAAGGTACTATTACTATCTGCATGCACACTTTGCATGTATGGATTGCGACAAAATATTATCACAATATTCCAAGAGTCTAACTGCATTAGATAATATTCAGTTGTGGACCAAGGGAATGACGTGATGTATTTTAGAAAAATTGATCTTAGGGGCCAGGGATTTAGGTTAGTGGTGGTGCTGCCTACCTTGTAAGTGCAAGGTCCTGAGTTCAGTTCCCAGTAAGAAAAAAAGAAAAGTTGATCTTAATTCAGTCAAAATAAATATATAGTTTTTAATTTTTAGCTTTCAAATTGAGCCAGATAAAAGCTGACAATCTAGAATATTTCATTTTCCTGACCGCCTAATCAATAACAAAATATTATATATTTAAGATGAAGTATTTGTTTAGAAGTCTTAAACATCTGATTTCTCAAAAGTGTTTTCAGAAGCTTGGTACTAAAAAAAGAATTTGAAAGTTAGCATTTGTTTTTCTTATTCTTGTATAGTCTTAATTTTCTTTGTAGCAATGCTCTTATGAACTAAATTATATTTTTCTCTACATCCCTGTTACATATCTAATGTATTAACTTTTGTTAACATAATATTTAAATACAACTTAACCTTTGTTTAAAAAACAGTAGATGATTTTTCACTAGACTGTAGTTTGGTAGGTAAAAATTCCTAACAAAAATGCTAGTGTACATATCATAGTAATTTAATTTTCAGTCAAATTTAGTTTTCTTTGTGAATTCTACATCACATATTAATGAAGAATTACATTTTTCTAATCTCACCAAGCTGTAGTACAGCTGTACATTCACAGAGTTTTGAATTACTTTGTTATGGTTAGTTTTTAAACTAGACAATCAGCTAAGCAGTAGCAGTTTTAAAAAATTATTTTTTGTTCTGCTAACATTTAGAAATCCATACTTTTGCTTCATAGTGCATATTGTAAAACACAAGATCTTTTCTTTTAAGAATTTGTATTGCTTTTTTTTATTATTTTTTTTTTGGTGCTGGCGATTGAACTCAGGTCCTTGCACCTGCACAGCAGGCGGCGAAACCACTGAGCTAAATCCTCGGCCCCTGTATTGCATTTTTTGAGAAAATTTGCCATTATAAGAACTATGAAATTTCTATCTGTATCTTAATGAATTTATAGTAATGACTTCTTTACTCCAAATTGGGGGATAAAATATAAAATGAGTATTTTATTTGTGGTAAACATGTCATTTTTATTACCGTAATACTGCTTAATGATAGATACTTTAAAGACACACCAGATGGGATTGAAATAAAGTGAGTGTTTAAATTGTTAAAAATTTATTATAATAAAAGACAGATTGCTATTAAACCTCATCAAAATACTCCCCCTTGACCCAAACACACATATCCCATTGTTTTTCCCACTTTCTGAAGCAGTTCTGGCAGTCCTCTTTTGTGAGTGTCTTTAGTTGTGCTGTCTTGGCTATTTCAGTGTCCCAAATTGACTGAAAACATTTACCTTGTATGAGCATTTGGCTTTGGCAAAGAGCCTGAAGTCTCATGGTACCAGATTGCATGAATAAGGTGGACAAGGACACACTGTAATGTTTTTATTTAACAGAAATTGCTATAAAAGCTTGATCAAAGAGGGGAGATAATAAATATAGTGAGTGTTTAAATTTAAAAACTTATTAGACTAAGACCCATTGCTTTTAATCTCCAAAATACTCCTTCTTACTTCAAACACACTTATCTGGCAATGTATCTTTTATTGTAATAAGTTCTTTTTTCTTAATTTAAACATTCACTATTTCTTACAAATCACCCCTTGTAT